TAGAATCCAAAAAAAAATATCGGGCAAGCAATTTGAACTTAAAAAAAAATCGTGCAAGAATAAACGGACGAAAAAGAATATCGAGCAAGACTTTCGAGTGGTAATCCTTATTTGCCATTCGGTGCATTTCCGCGTGTAGCCCAGGGCCGTATGTAGCAACCGGGGGGGGGTCTGCAGGGTCCAGGAAATGGTATTTCAGAGACTCTAAATTTAAAAATTTCCTCGGGCTTTCGGCCCTCGCTTTCAGTCCCCCAATAAAAAGAGCTTCCTACGGCCCTGTAGCCTAAATTGATGGGAGGACCAGTATAATTCCAAAAATGGTTGTTCTTTATTTCTTTACTCCGACTCCTATGATGAACATGTACATAAAAAACTAGGAAAACTACGATTAAATCACGGCCGTAGAAACTAAAATAGGTGAAATTTTTATGGGACACGATCAAAGGCGAGGATATAAGAACGAGAGATTGAAATTGAGTAGGAATAGCGTACAGGGGCATGCGTTTCGACCTAACAGTTTCTTCAGCAGGGTTTTTTAAGAGGAGAGGGGGGGGTGGGGTGTAGATATAATTTGAAGAGGAGAAGAAAGGAGAGTTTATAGGAGTTCGGAAAATAATGTGAGACCAAGAGGAAAACAAATTATTATGAAATAACTGAAAATAATCAATTACACAGACACAGTGAAAGGATGTAACTACTATACATGTTATTATAGTCAAGTTATCCGAAGGTCTTGTTGTTTGCGAGACATTCCAACACTACGCACTTTATTGTTCATCGTTCGTATTGCTGAAGTGAAGCAAATTTGCATGTCCTTCAATTAAGGGTTAACTTACTCAATGGCATAGTGAGTTTGAATGATTGTGATGGTAACTTGGTAAGGGTGATCATGTGACTGTAGGTGATTGCATCCAAATATGGTGTTAGTGGTGTAGGAGCTTATAAGACAGGGATAGGGGCGTTTGGCAATTAGTGATACATAAGGGATAAAAATAATGATAACACCGTGCAGGGTTTGATTTTTGTTTAAAATATATGAATATACAATAATAACGAACATGTACATATGTAACAAAACCAAATCAGAGATTAGTAATGATACGATATGACCAATAGATAGCTATAGCTAGTTCTGGTGTGGATTTTGCTACGTAGAGGATCCAAGTTAACATTATTTTCCGATCTCCTACACTCTCCTTTTCCTCTGCAAATTCTATATAGCCTACCCTCCCCCCCTTTAAAAAACCCTGCTGAAGAAGACTGTTAGGTCGAAGCGTGTGTAGAGATGCCTTTTCTACTCAATTTCAATCTCTCACTCTTATATCCTCACCTTTAATGGAGTCTCATAAAAATTTCACCTACTTTAGTTTCTATATATAATCGTAGTTTCCCTAGTTTTTTACGTAAATGTTCATCATAGGAGTCGGAGTAAAGAAATGGAGAACAACCATTTTTTGAATACTGGTCCTCTCATTATTTAGGCTACACAATGTATAACACCAGTACTTGTCCAATTACCTATTATATACCGAAAAATGTAAAAACAAAAAACTGTATATACATGCATACAAAAAAATATCGTGCAAGTCCTCTGACTGACAAAAAGAAATCGAACAGTGTCAGGAGGCGGAATAAAATATCGAGCAAACTGAAAATCTACCCACCCCCATCAAAAATCAAATGGTCCGTCCCTTATAACTGTTATAAGGCGAAAAAAAGCGTATACCAAAGTATTAAATGACAATATTATCTCAATGACAATGACATTGTCAGTGGCGGCGCCAGGCTTCCAAATTTGGGGGGGCATTTGAGGGGCAAACTCAAATTTTGGGGGGGGCAAGATAGAATTTTTAAAAAGGTCGCCCCCCGCCCAGGAAATTCGCCCCCCCCCCCTCAAAACGGGGCGATATT